ACACACACACACACACACACACACACACACACACACACACACACACACACTCATAGAGAGACAGCTCCAATGAACCTTAATGAAGCACTCGACGTTGCGTATACGTAATACGTCTGCTGGCTGCGTATACGTAACGTTTCATGTTGCAGCTGGCGGCTGATGCGAGGCCGGAACTTGTTGCCTGCTTTCAGGCGGCTACATAATGCCCGGCAAGTGGGTGGCTGGCTGGCTGGGTGGCTGGTTTAGTGGAAGTCGAGTGCAGCTGCCGTAGCAAAGGGACGTGGGTCAGCGGGGCAAAGGGAAGCGGCACATGGGGAAATTGGAGAGGGCTGTCGGAGAGCGCTGGCCTCACGCTGCGAGTGAAGCCCGACTAATTATAGCTGCCAGTTCCATGGCAAACAGAGCGCCGCAGAGCAGCAGCAGCGCCAGTTAATGAGATGCCAAAGATGCTGCGAGAGATGCTCAGGCAGCAGGCAGAGCAGTCGAGGCAGAGGCAGAGGCTGCGGCAGCGGCAGCGACAGCGACAGCAATAGAAAATTGGAAATGCGTCAGTTGCGATTCGAGAGAGTAAGCGATTCGAGCCGATCGATCCGTATCGATTCGTATTCGATTATCCATCCAATCAGAGAGCATTCGCATTCGCATTCCCATTCCCATTCGCATTCACATCCCCATCCGAGTCCATGGCGCAGTTGGAGCAGCAGCTGGAGCAGCATGTGCCCCAGATGACCATCAATGCCAGCACGCAGGAGCTGGCCGCGTTGATCGACGCCCATTTGGGTGCACTGCGTGCGCCGGCGCCCGCCTGGCGTGTGGCCGACTCGCCGATATCGGGGCGTGGCGTGTTCGCCGTGCGCAACATTGAGAAGGGCGAGGAGCTGTTCCGCGAGCACACGCTCCTGGTGGGACCGACGGCGCATCGTGGCCGCAATTTGCGCACCTGCATCCACTGCTACCACCAGCCACCGGGCGAGAGCGAGGAGTCGGCGCTCTGCAGCGCCGGCTGCGGCCTGCCCGTCTGTCCGGACTGTGCGCCCTCTGAACGGCACGCCGTCGAGTGCCAGCTGTTCCGTAAATGGCAGCCCAAGCACCTGGACATCATTGAGCCGCGCGCCCTGCGCATCCTCAGCGTGGTGCGCTGCTTCTTCCTCGACGAGCGGCAGCGCCAGCTGCTCTACGCGATGCAGGCGAACACGGATCGCTACTACATGCGCGAGGTGCAGCGGGCCGCCGAGTGCTTCGAGCACTTTCCGCGCGACCCGGACATGCTCGACTACTTCTATCGCACGGTCTGCGCCTTCAATACGAACGCCTTCGAGAGCCGCTGCCACATCGATGGCCAGGAGGTGGTGACGCGCGCCCTCTTCCCGCTGGCCGGCCTGCTCAACCACCAGTGCACGCCGAATGCGGCGCACCACTTTGAGGATGGCGAGACCATCGTGGTCACGGCCACCGAGCGCATCCCGGCGGGCGCCGAGATCACCATGTCCTACACGAAGCTCCTCTGGTCCACGCTCGCGCGCAAAATCTTTCTCGGCATGACGAAGCACTTCATGTGCCAGTGTCCGCGTTGTCAGGATCCCACGGTGAGTTGGCCAAGCGAACTCGATGTCTCTGTGTTTGTCTCTCTCTCTCTTTCTCTCCCTTTCTTTCTATCTAGCTCGCGTGCTCTCTCTCTCTCTCTCTCTCTCTCTCTCTCTGCGTATATCTGTGTGCTTTTGCTCTATGTGCTCTACGTATGTGTGATTGCGATCCGCTCTACTAAAATAGCAAATGTCTTCCTATTTCTAACTGTATCTGTATCTACGCAACTTATATACATATGTATATGTATTTGGCCTTATCCGTATCACTAAATATATGCAGGCTTGCGTGGATATATGTCTAGGCCTTATGTTTGTGTTTTTATCCGTATACCTATCTCTGCTTCTATCTTTATTATTATCATTATTCTTATCCCTATCGTACAGACACATATACATATACATATACATATACATATATTCTTATCTAAATCTGAGCTTTTACCTTTGGATACAGCTTAGCTTTTATCCGTTTATCATTTTATCTTTATCCCTTAGTGTATATATATTGTTATCAAATCTATTTATATATCTTTGCTTTTATCTGTATATCTCTATGCATAAATCTTTAGATATAGCTTTCTTTTTATCTCTACCTTATATTTGTTATCCGAGTTTCCATTGTATATCTATATCCTTATCCGTATCTCCATTGGTATCTAAATCTATGCATTTACCTCTTCAGTTTGTGTATCGTACATCGTATATCTATCTGTATCCCTATGTATATCTCTAATGAGTCTGCACCTGTCTCTCTATTTGCATATCGACTTGTATCTATATTTATATCTATACCTTTAGATATACCTCATTCAGCATATGTATGTATGTACGTGTATATACATATGTATTTGTATTCGTATCTATAATTCTTTCTTTATATTTATCTCTTTCTGTATCTGTTTCTCGATTGGCATCTATATTTGTATCCACATCTGCGTCACTATGTATGCCAGTGTATCGCAATGTAGGGCAATAGATAGACACGCACACCCATGAACGAATACGCATCTGTTTTTGGCCCATCCGGCCATCCATTGATCGGCACTTTGTGTGATTTTTAGCACTTGGCACAGAGCTTCCAGGTTCATTCAACTGTGCATTAGGCAGCACACTCTCTCGACATTAATAGCCCATTCGTTTGTTCAATTGAAGCTTTGATATGAACTAAATACATAGATGGGCAATAAATGTGTTGCTTGATTTGAACAATCTCTATTTGGATAAACGGACAGATTGGCTGATTGCTTGCATATTGATAATCAGCCCAATTTAACTTTTCACATCTTAATCAAGCGTAGCCCCCAAGTGTTTTGAAAAGTAAGTAAATATGTGAGTAAATATTTAACCAAAAGTTTTTTTTTTTTTAATTTTTATATTTTATTTTCCTTTTTAATTTTTATTTTTATTCGTATTTACAATATAAATCACCATTTGCAACACGTCCAAGCAATGGCGATAGTTGTGATCGATTTATTGCACTTCTCATCTCTAGCTGCATGGGCGAATGCCAAAATCGCCATTGTGAATGTTACTCAAATTTGAATGCGCTGTTTGCTTAGCCAAAATACCAAAACAAACAATTGTGATTGATTGACAAATGTGCAATGCAGCTGCATAAATACCAAAACAGACAATTGTGAATGATTATTTGAATATTGCAAGATACCAAAACCAAATCAATGTGAATTCTACTTGACGTGAATTTCGAATTGTGATAGAAATAATCTCTTGAACTATTTACGCAAAGCAACGACTAATGAGCCGTTTCCCAATGCAGCTATAAATACATGCATGCATACATACATACATATGTATGTATGTACATACCATGAAACGTTCTACAGCACTTGGCACTCGAGCGTCTGGTGCTCGCAATCAAATCGCGCTCCCATTCAGCGAAATGCCTCTGAATGACAACTTGTTGAGCCATGAGCCAACGTCAAATTGTTTCTTGATGCGATGTAAATCTTTCCTGCTCGCCCGCTTGCCCTAGCTGATCTCTATTTCCCGCTCATTATGCTGTTCTTGTAGAATATTTTGAATGAAATCGTCCATCCCTTGCCGCGTTAAGCATATGCCAACGTGCATACATGTAGACATACATACAAATGTATATATGTGTATACGTATGTGGGCCTCTGCCTCGCACCCTTTCTGTTATGGTGCCTGTCATATTGCATATTCCTTTGGGTCTGGGCAAGCTGCCAGGTTAAGAGCTAATGGAGGTCCAAACTAGTTCAAGTACAAATATACAAACACACACACACACACACACACACACACACACACACACACACACACACA